CTGGTGCAGGTACCTTACCACAGATGCGGGCCCAGGTCTTTGCCCAGGGCCTGTTGAGTTAGCTCAATAATAGATCCAGGAGGGGGTCTGAGAGGCAGAGGAGGCCCAAGCACAGCTTCCAACATCCCATCTCATGGGTACAGTGTCAGGGAAAGGCCTAGGAGGCCCTGGTTCAGAGAACAGGCTTCTTAGGGGGACAGACCTATGTGATTCTTGGCTTCACTAGCTGTGTGACTTCAGTCAAGTCACTCAGCCTCTCTGAGCTTCAGTGCCCTCATCTTCAGTAGGAGAATGACAATCCCTCATCAGGTTGGTGGGGAGGGGAAATGAGATGACCAGTGAGCCACACCCCCAGCTCTGCAGCGGTGATTTTTAAGAGGAGCCTCTATTTGCTACCAGTTGAGGCCAATCCCCTTGAAGGCATTTTAGCCTCCCTCTCTGCGGGAAGGGCCAGGGAGTGGTGACATCAGGCCTCCACAGCTTCCAGCCTAAAATAGCCCTTTCTTTAGACTGACTCCACTCCATCACAGCTGCCTCTGCCTCCTGCTGTCCCCAGCAGAGCCAGCACGGTCCCTGTCACGCAGTGCCCTTCACTGGTTCAGTAAACTCTCCCTGGGAGGCATTTTCTCATGAGCAAATGGAAGGGCCCCCAGGTGGCAGCTCTGGTACAGCCACAGTGCTCAGAGCAGGCAGCAATACGGGACCCCAGGCCCCTTCAGGCATTGTCGCTGGAGTGGCTGGGTTCAGATCCCACTGCCCTGAACTCTGCTCTGGGACACTCAACTGCCCCGAGCCTCGGCTTCTTCATCTGGAAAATGGGCTAGCAGCAACCTGCCAGGTTGTGAGGGCTCAGAGAGAGGGTGCGCATCAAGCCTTTTCCTGGAACCTGGCACGGAGCAGGTGCTCAATAAGCAGCCCTGGTTCTTACACCTGCAGCACTTGGAAGTTTACAAGTCACATCCATCCGCCTCCCCACCGGGGCCTCCCGTGACCCTGGGGCTGATGTCCTTGCCGAGTTGATGTCAGGAAGAAATTTGAAGGTTCTGAACTTCTGAGTGACCTCTTCCACCCCAGCCAGGATTTCCAAAGCATCCAGCCCCTCCGGGGCATTCCTCCGAGCCACCTGTCTGCACCCTGCTGGCTCCTCCATGAATCACAGATTCCCCAACAGGCGTCCGGCCTCACATGTGCCTCTGCCTCCTCCGAAGCACCAGGCGGGGCACCGCTGGGTCTGCCCATTTGTCATACAAAGAAATTGAGCCTCAGCGAGGAATGGGGATGGCTCAAGGCCACCCAAGCCAAAGGGAGCTGGGGTGAGGCTCAGGCCTCAAGAAGGGAAGAGGGTGCCAGGGGCTCAGTCAGATCTAGTCTTGATGGTCAGAGCTGGAATATGTGGGGCTTGGAGCCCAGCACCCTCAACAGAAGCCCCGAGATGGAGAGGATGGCTGGGGAGGAAGAGCAGGCCAAGGGCGGGTCCAGCTGGTGCTGTGCTCATCCATCCATTCCTCATCCATTCCTCATCCATTCACTCGCTCACTGTTCATTCATTCCTTCATTCATTCCTCATTTCTAATTCACTCACCGTTGGTTCATTCCTCATTCATTCACTCACTCTCTCTCTCATTCATTCATTTATCCAGCGAGTGTGTAGTGGGCACTGCTCAGGCCAGGGGGTGTGAGGCCCTAAGAATACAGCAGCAAACCAGGCGGGGCTCTGCCCTCGAGCATCGCCAGGGAATAAAAACCCATCCTGACCCAGGAGACACCAAGAGCTTCGCAGTGGGTGGGAGGTGCCATTGGTGCAGTGGGAGAAATGGTGGGGCCCACGAGAACCCAAAGAGAAAGTCTTGCAGGGCGAGACACTGGGCCCTGTCAGGCTCCCTCTTGTCCCCTTCCTTGGCCATCGAAAGGCAGATGGGAAGGAGGTGCTTCTCTGAAAGACCAACAGAGCCTCACCCCCATTTACAGCTCCGCCACACCCAGCTTTGTCCCCACAAGACCCCTGAGCCCTCAGGGAGTTTAGCTGGCCAGTGCCTGACCAAGAGCATCACTCCAGTGGTAAGTACCAGAGAGCCCTCCAAGGGGTCTCCCACCTCCATGCCTTGGCACCTTCTGTTCCTTCTGTCTGGAATGCTTTTCTCTAAACCTGGGCTGACTGCATTCATTCACCCCCTCCCTCATTCAACCAGCACTTATTGGACACTTACCACAAGCCAGTCAGAGAGCTATGCCCCGGGCATACTGAGAGTTCAGAGGTGAATGGTGGCCACGCAGGTTAAAGACATAATAATGTGTAGTGCCAACAAGAATGGTTCCTATAGAGGACAAGGAGGACTAAGGGAGTGGAGTCTGATTTGATGGACGGGGGCAGGGGGAGTATGGCCTAGGGAAGGCTTCTCCGAGGAGTTGGATTTCCATTTGATATCGGGATAAAGAAGAAGAGTTAGTTCAGTGAAGAGTGAGAGGAAGAATACTCTATCCAGGTGGAAAAAGATAGCCTGTGCAAAGTCCCTGGGGTAGAAACTGGTTTGAAGAGTATAAAAAAAAGCTCAGATCTGTATGGCTGGGACCTAGAGAGGGAGAAGGTGAAGGAGGGGGTGTCAGACGGTGCAGGGAGGCAGCAGGCGGATCTGGATGGCACGGCCAGGGGGAGAGGCTATTGGAGATGAGGCCTCTGAGGGCCTCAGTGAAGGTACAGAGAGGTGGTTCCTGAGCCAATGGGACCATGTGCTGACAGGAGGACACAGAGCAGTTGCTTCCCCTCTCCACACACGCAGGCCCAAGGAAGACCAAAATCACTTAGCAGAAAGGTGGACATTTTGGTTGGAATATTGATGTTGGACTTCAAGCCTCCAGAACTGTGAGGACATAATTTCTGCTTCTTAAATCTCTGTTGTTTAAACCCTCGATCTATGAGAGTTTCTCTTGAGCTGTCAGAGGGAATCAGCGCCTAACGACAGCTTTCCTGGACTCCAAGTGTGGACTCAGAGGTTCCTCAGTGTCATAACTTCCCCCATCAGGACATCTACCTCCTTCCCAGGCTGACTTGGGAATGTCACAAAGGCGGAGATGAGGTTTGCCTTATTCTTGGACCCTGGCCAGTGCCTATTCTTGGACCCCAGAGTCCAGTCCAGGTCCTGAAAGTGTTGAATGAATGAATGAATGAATGCAGAACCAGGGCCCGGAGACGGGGGTGACTGGTGTCCTGGGTCGCCCTGGCCCAGGATAGTCCCTTCAACTTGAGAACCAGGGCCTGCGGGGAGAGACCAGACCTCTCTCCACGGAAGAGCCGGGTCCCGGTGCCCCGCCGCCTGCCCTCATCTGAGCCCTCCTCTTCTCCTTGCCTCTTCCTCCCGTACCCCAGACACCTCACTCCCTGACCGGCGTCCAGGAGAGCCACAGCAGCTCGTGTGACAAAATAAGGGCTGACTGTGCACAGGGCTCTTGGGTTAAGGTGGAGGCAGCCCCAGTTTCCAGGCTCATCCTGCCCAATTGTGCCCCTAGCCGAACTGGCGCACAGCAAGCTGGGGCTATGGACTTCCAGAACACCACTGGACGGGCAGATGGAGATCCGAGGAATCTGGAAATTTGCCTGATTATGGATTGATCCCCCTGCGGCCCCCTGCGCTGGACCCTCGATGGGACAGCATCCCTGTGCCAAGCTTCAAGTGGACAGTTCTGGGTGTAGGCAGGCCTGTCCCCACCCCCAGACTCTCTGCCCCCAGCCTTCCCAAGGATCTCATCCCTCGGGATCCGGAATCCATCCTTGGTTGTCTCCCAATCCAGGGCTGGGAACGCTTCCAGGGCCAGAGCCCTCTCTCCTCCTTCCTCCTCTCCCTTCCTTTCCTCCGTCCCTGCCTCCAACCACTAAGCTATTTGTGAGGACTGAGCTCCCCTTCCTGCACCTCTGACCCCGACACAGGTTGGCACCTGGAGGTCACTCGAGGTGCACCCACCGGCCACCTGACTGCCTGGAAAAGCAAGGTGCTCTCCCAGTCCTGGCCAAGCCCTCCCAGGGGTCGTAGGTCCACGCGTGGCAAAGGACCTCTCCCTGGAGGGAGCTGGGCTGCTGCAGGGGGCAGGGAATGTGGCTTGACTCTGTGCCAGGCAGCCGGGCTGGCTGGAGTAGGGAGTCGGTCCAGAGGGAAAAGAGCCCAGTTTTTGTAGAGGAGACTGAGGCCCCTGATTCCCTGAAAGGCTGACCTGAGCTGGGGGGAGACTGCCCCTCAAATGCCCCTCCTCATGGGGCCTTCTCCCCAGGGAGCCCCAAACCTGCTGCCTTGGTCCCTCACCACACTCCTGCCCTCCCGCCTCCCTCCGTTGCCCAGAGACAGACACAGTGTGCTCAGCATCCTGGCAGCAGCAGCAGGGCCAACTGAACCCTCTGGAGAGCTGGGGCAGCTCCCTCCCGGGGCTCCCAGCCTCCAGAAACTGCCTCCGCGGAAACCTTCTGCGGCTTGCAGATCCCTTCCCGGACCCTCAGCAGCAACTTTTCCCCAGTTCTCTGCCCAGGGCTGCCGGTGGCCCGAAGGCTGGGCAGGGCCAGCTCCCCAGTGGCAGCCTGGGGAGCACTCTCAGCTTGAGCCCTGGCCTTTAATGACAGGGTGCACCCGTCGCCGGCTCCGTCTCCGTTGACCCGCAGGAGCTCACTAATTGGATCTGCCACGCCGCGCCGCGCAGCCGGGGACCGCAGCCAGGCGGGCAGAGGCGGCCGCAGGGGGCTGCAAACTTCCTCCCTCGCCTCCTCAGCCAGGAGCGGAGCCCGACGGCCCAGGAGCTCTCCTTCCGCGGCCCCCTGCCACCCGCTGCCCAGAGACCCCCTTGGGCACTGTGCCTCGTGACCCAGGGCACCATGCCCACCCAGAGTCCCCGGCCCAGCCAGTGCCAGCTGCCCGATCGCCTCCCCCCTTCAACTCAGATTCCTGAAGCGGAGAAAAGTCCCCCTGAGCAGCCAGGCTGAGGTCCCCAACTCTGCCACTTGGCCGGCCAGTGTCACCTACCGTAGGAGCCGTCTTGGTCCAGGAGGGCGTCGGGCTCCATGGCGAGCGCGCCCCCAGCCCCTGGCCCCCCCGGGTTTATGCCCCGGGGCCGTCTCCATGGGCGCCCGGGCTTCGCCTTTTGTATTCCATCTGGCGGCTTCTCGGGCGGGATGACGGGGTGTTCCTGCAGCAGGCCCCTCTCCAGCCCTCGCCTTCATACAGCACATTTAAAGTAGCAGTAACCTCTTTCTCCTCCCCCCGCAGCCTGGCTGGAAACATTAGAAGGGACTGAGGCGGCGAGATGTCTAAAATAGGAAGACGCCGGGGACGGCTGGCCTGGCTGCCCGCGACGCTGGCTGCGGGGATCTGGCCCGGCTGTGCAGATGGAAAGGCTCAGAGGTGAGTCGGACACGGGGCCCAACATCTGGAAGCCGGCTCTGGGGCCCCGGGGCCCTGTGGGAAGAGGGGGAGGCTGACCCGCTCTGGGAGGGGGTGGGGGTCCACTCTGCCTGCCACCCAGCACCCAAACCCCAGGGGCTTCTCCCAGGCCCCTGCTGGAACCTCCCACTCAAATCTGTTCTCAGACATTTCCTGCAGTGTGGGGGAAGCAGTCATTGACTCAGCCATCCATTCAGTTAGTCACTAAATATTTTTTGAGCATCTAGTCCTCGCCAGACACTGGGCCGGTGGTGTGGGTCTGCAGGGGAGCCAGGCACCGCGTCTGGCCCCCTGCAGGGAAAACAGTTGGCAGGGAAAAGGTCACTGCCGGCCGGCACCGGGGGCACAGAGCAGGGGTCTCGCCCAGCTGGGGTGTGAGGTCAAGCCAGGCTCCCTGGAGGAAGGGGGACCTAAGTGGGGTCCCCACAGATGGGTAGCAGCCAGCCAGGGAAGGAAGAGGAGCAGTCACCTGTGCAGTTTTTAAAAGGGGTGGTGCTGAGGGCCCCAGGTAAGCTCTAGGTGGTTGGAGCAGAGGGGACAGGGGTGGAGAGGGCCAGGGCTGAGGAACAAGGCCAGGCAGGTAGGGCAGGGCTGTGGGGACAGTCTTGGTCCATGAGAGTGGCCGGATCCCTGTTTCCTTGGGCAGGCATCCCTGAGTGCCACGTAAAAGAGGCAGGTGGCAGGACAGAGCTGGACTGGGGAGGCTGTGGCCTCGTCAAGAAGAGCCATGGAAGCACTGGGTACCATTTGTGAAGCACCCACCAGAGGTGACCCGGGTTGGAGAGGTCACCGGCATTGCCTCTTCTGAGCCTCACAGTGGTCCCTTCTAGTAGACAGTGGTCATTGCTTGGACAAAGACCATGCAGGTTAGAGAGAAGGACGGACTCGTCCAGGCCATAAGTAGTGATTGACATCCAATCGCAGCCTTGGAGCTGGGGGTGAGGGGACCACGATGCAGTCATTTGGGCCTCACAAGCACGCTCAGGAGACAGACAAGGCCCAAGGGCCTGCAGGGGAGAGAGTTGAGCCCAATCAGGGAAGGCTGCCCAGGAGAGGAGGCGTCTGACCTGGCAGAGAGGGAATAGGCTGAGCAGGGAGGGAAGGCTTGGAGGCCAAGGGGTGGCAGGAGAAAGGCAGGGAGGCCAGAAGGGGACATTAAGTGGCTGGGAGAACGTCAGGGCTAAAGAGCTGGCAGGGAGCGCCAGCCTGGGGCTGTGGGCTTGTCCCAGGGGCCACATGCCGTCCAGAAGACCTCTGTTCGGAGAATGACCTCCTTTCCAGTGGATGCCCGGACGTTCCTGCAAGCGGCCCCCCCAGCCTTCCGTCCGCACTGCGCTCAGAGCAGGAGAGAACGTTCTGCCCCCACAGAACGGCTGGACACCAGGAGCCAAGCGCCAGTGACCTGCTTTTGGGAGACATGGCTCTGGTGTGGGTGGGGGACATCACGAGGAGGGAGGTGGAGACAGAGATGGGCAGGAGGCTGGCGAGACCTCATGGGGGGGAGTCCACACAGGGTCCCTCCCAGCTACCCATGGCTGCCCAGCTGCCTCCAGAGGACCAGTGGCTGCTGACGTGGTTGGCCTGGCCACAAGGAAGCTCCTCCTGTCCCCCCAACCCGCCTCCCCCACCTTGGACCACATGGATTCCAGCTCCCAACCTCCTGCTCCTTTAATTACAGGGCGGCCCAGCCCGACCCAGGCTGGCTGCAGGCTCCAGGCTCCCCGGCATCCTGATCAGGGGCTGTGGGGACAGACGGTATGAGGTGGGAGGCGGCCTAGGAGTGGGGAATCTGCCCTGGGGACCACCTACCCATGGGTGGGTTCAGGTCCAGTGTGCTCCAGCTCTCCAGGGCCCCCGGGTCCTGGGAGTTCTGGAAACCATTTTTTCACGTAGACACATGGAGAACTTTCTAGAGTATGGAAGCTGAGAGGAGGAGGCTGAAGCCCTGGGCTTACATCTCAGCTCTGCCACCAAAGTGGGTGACACCGGGTGTTAGTTACGAAAGCCTCGTGAGCAGCTAGAATGGGGCCACTCACAGCCCTGACCTCGGAGGGTTCTTGTTCGGATTAAAGGGGATCATGAGCCTCAAAGGGCTTTGTGCGTGGCTGGCTGGGTGTGTCTGAAGCACTCAGTACTGCTCATCCTTACATAAGCTTTTATAGTCACAAGCTTTTTCCCCTCACCACAGCCTAGTGAGGGCAGGGCCGGGAGCCGGAGAACACAGGCCCATTTTACAGACAAGGAAGCCGAGGCTCCAACTCGACTTAAACGACTCACGACTCAGGGTTAGGCTCAGGCTGCACCCTTCACTCAGCTGCGTCCCCAGAACCTGCTGAGAGCAGGAAGTGGGTCTTGGGGAAGGAAGACCTGGGCCCCCATCCTGGCTGTGCCTCCAAGTGGTGGCGTGACCTCCCTGGCCTTCACCTTCTTCACCAGACAAGGAACAGTTGGATTAACCGAGCATCCTCCCACCCATTTCCCTCTTTTTATGACTCAGATATGTTTAGATATGCAAACAGAGCTCCTGCCCTCCAGGGATGCATTTACAATGAATGTATATTGCACATCAGGCACTGGGGAAAACCACATCAGCACAATCAGACCCCTCTCCTCCTGTTTAGTGGCTACAAAACATTCCACCCTTTGGCTGTGCCATACCTGGATTGAGCCAGTCCCCTCCTGATGGACACCTAGGTTGCTGCCCTTTCTTGGTGACAATAAGCAATGCTTCAATGATACACACACACACACACACACACACACACACACATATATATTTTGTACTGGGGATTGAACTCAGGGTAACATATCTTTAATCCTTTTTATTTTTTTATTTGGAAACAGGGTTTTGCTAAGTTGCTAAAGCTGACCTCAAACTTGTCATCCTCCTGCCTCAGCCTCCCACGTCGCTGGGATTACAGTATGCACCACCACGCCCGGCTGCCGTGCGTATCTTGACTGTACCCTGTGCACACCTGTCTAATGATCTCCGTGTGGTAAAACTGTCAATACAAACTTGCTGGGTTTGTCAATACAAAGCACCTGCATTGGTACATCCCCAGCGTGGCTGCAAAAGGCACTCAGGCCCCATCTGGATCTTATATTCATTTCACCAACAGTTAACAAGTGCTGATTTTGTGCCCAGTCCTGTCCTAGCACCTGGGATGGCCAGCGTCTCTTCTCACATGGATTTATATTCTATCTGGAGGGAGAGGAGCGCTATTTAGAAAATTAAATCTGGGCCCAGGAGAGTAAATTCTGAGCAGGAACTTGACAGGCAAGGTGAATCCAGGGGGCCAGCCTCCAGGGGTGGGCGGAGCCACTGCCAGGGCTCCACCGGAGTGAGGCTGGCAGGCCGGAGGTCATGTGATGGCCAGAGTGGCTGGGGCTGGGGGATGGGTGGAAGAGTGGCCCAAGAGAAGAGATAAAAGTCTGGGGCTGCTCCTGGGAGGGCCTGTGGGCCAGGGAGGGTGGGGGCCATTGCAGGTAGAAGCAGGGGAGTGACCTGTGGGATCCCCTGGCTGCTGTGTGGAGCGTGGACTCAGGGAGACCGGGTAGGGCACTGCTCCAGCCCTTTGAGGTGCAAGATGCGGGGACCTCCAGCAGGGGTTGGGGCCAGGAGTGGAGAAAAGCACCCGAATTCTGGACGCGTGTGCAGAGCCAGTACAGCTAACCCAGCAGACACAGAAGCGGGGAAAAGAAATGTGCCCAGAATGGCCCCGAGGCTTCTGGAGCGACCAATAGGCTGGTCTTCAGAGCTGAGGCTGCAGGATCAGAGCTCAGGGCGGCAGTAAGGCGGGGGTCTGCTGCGTTCCTATCCCAGCCGCAGTGGCCTGTCACTCCATGTAATTGAAGGAGCTAAGTGGTCACCAATGGCCACGGGTGGGGGGACAGTAGCCCCGCAGTGGGCATGCAGGAGGCAGGCACCTGCTGGCTGGCTTGCTCAGCGTCTCCCTGCTGGGAAGGACACGGCCAGCCAAGTCCTGGGCCGGGCCACACCTAAGAGCCAGGCACATAAAGGAGGAACCAAAACCCAGAGATCTAAAAGCGAGCAGAGGGCAAAGCCGGGGTGCGAAGCGGGAGCCCCCAGCTCAGCAGAGTCAAGAAAGCTTTTGCAAAGGAAGGACCAGCTGCATTGGACTGTGAGGGGTGAAGAGGAGTCCCCGCCGATGGCAGCAGGACAGGCACGTGACCCGACTGCGTGTGTCCAACAACCCGGGCTGCATGTGCTTTCAAGCTATTTTCTGCACTGGGTTCTGATTTTCTAGCTAAAGCCTCCTGTCCAAGGCCAAATGGAGCCTCTGAGGAGCCCACAGCCTCCTGCTGCTCCCCACATTCTGAGCTGGGCAGAGGCTGATGTGGGCCGGCACCGTGTCACCGCTCTGCAGCTGTCACGCAGGTGCTTCAGGCCAGCCCCTACCCCATGCCTCTTGGTGAGCCTCGAGGGTCCTGGGGGGCTGCTGCCTCCCTGCCCTCTCCACCTCCTCTCTTAGTATTATTCTTATTCTCTACCTCTCCTAGCTTGGCTCTAAGAGTTGGGTTTCTCCCAGGGAAGACACAGCAAGAGTTCAGCCATTTGGAGCTTAGGACCTGCCTGGGTCCAAATCCCCAGCTTCCAATTACCTGCTGGGCACATGATTCCCCTTCTTGGTGCCTCGGTTTCCTCATCTGTAACTGGAGGATACAGATAGGCACCAGAAGGCTGAGAGGAGAATGGAGTCTCTGAGACAG